ATCAAGACCTTTTAAAATTTAATTAGTATCATGTCAAAGAGTCGAGTTTAGTCTGTACTACCATCGTAAGCAGAAATGAATTAAAGTTTAAGATGCATCTTGTTTACCTGATTATCTACAGGATGTGAGGTTAAACCCTTAATAAGTAGGGCACAGACTGGCTTGTGGATATACTGTAATATACAGTATTTTAAATCAAGTGCCAGTTGTGCAAGCCAACATCCTTTTAGAACAGCCTTGAAAGCCATTTGGTTGTGGAAGTTCAGCTTTTTTACTAATGGGCAGGTGGCACACAGATAAAAGCAAACATACTTTGCACCTTGTGGAATTCTGTGCCCATTTTATTCACTATTAAAGTGGAGACTCTAAAGTAGGGGTCAAAAACCTTATAACAACTCAGCTCCAAATAAGGTTGGAATCATGCAATTCAGTTGAAAGAAATGTCATAGTTTCAGATTTCAAATTAAGAAAAGATGTAAACATTGTAATAAAACAAATTTAGAAAATGTTTTTGTAAATAAGATGGACTGAATGAACGAGTGAATGGATTTATTGTCATTGCATGGTTTGTACTGGTATAAAGTGGTGCAGTATTAAAACTATTCAGAAAGAGGCCGAACCAAAGAAATCCCTTTCATAGTTTGTTTCAACCTGCGTCATTCTTTTTTGGCTGCTCACAGGCAGCAAAACAAGCCATAAAAAAAATACTCACCTTCTCTTGCTTTTTAAATTTGAATGGAAACTCTTTAGTGTTTAACCATCCTACAGATACAGAGCAACAATACGCTTCGTTCAGAGCCATGTTTGTGCCCATCTGAATTTGGTATCACTGTTATTATGCCTCTATGCCAGAGATAGCAATGATCAGAGGCATTATGTTTTTGAGTTGTGCATCCATCTGTCCATCCATCCCATTATTGTGAACACAGATTGTATTTTTTTTTGGCTAAAAATAGCTGTTGAAAATGACACTGGTGAGAGTGGAATAAAACAGTAAAGTGGCAGACCACCAAACCAAAACAATTAGCTAAAAGATGCTAAAACGCTGCAGAGAGCTGAGGTTAACTGCACTGTCAGGTAATAATTATATGTGGGCTCCACATTACAGGCAGCACCTCTTTATAGAACGTGGAGTAATTTGATCTTTTGCCAATATAAAATAAAAGTTGATTACAGCATCTTTATGAAAAACCAGTGTAAGGGCATTTTACACAGCATAAAAAATGACCATTTTAGGGTCTTTTGTTTCTTCAAAGTAGAGGAATTCCCACATCAAAAGTTGCTCCTGACCCTAAAAAAAGGTACAGCTGTGTGCAGCGTGAACAGTGGGATTGCTGTGAAACTGCTGACACCAACCACCTCCCACCTCCTTCCACCACCATCATGAGGCTGTGAAGAATATCTGTGATGACAGTGTGGATGTGCACTGGGACTTTAGCTGAGATATCTCCAGCTTATTGTATTTAATGTTGCTCCTGTGTCCATTTATCCCTTACACTGTCTCATATGCTAAAGCTCTTGTTGTGCTGCACAGTTCCCCGAGTGCCAAATGAAAATACCAAACACCAGTGCAGTAGTGGAGTATTGCAGAATTCGGATTTAATAAACATAGAATTTCATGTTTCTCAGTGGTCAAATCTGTGTTGATCCTGACTGTTTTTCTGATACTAATTTTTCATGATCTGTTATTATATGTCTCTCTGCTTTCATGTGTGCATTTTTTTGCCCTGGAGGCTGCAGCCTTGGCTGTGCTTCACTCCACTGAGTCTGCCAGAAGATCTCATGGACGTCTCAGTGGAGCAGACTCTTAAAAACACTATTTACCCAAGGAGACTTATTTAAAGTTGCAGAGCAGCACAAAGTCTTACTCTAGCTCCTTTATTTACACAGCTAGTCAAAAGTCTGGACACGTTTTCCCATTGAATTGCATATGTGTCTGTGTGTTGCTCTTGGTATTTATGGACTACCCTGTTAAATGTTTTCATTAGTATTTGATACCTTTCTTGCTGTGCAACCATCTGACTAAACTTTTTGTTTGTGCCCAAGAAATCTTTCAGTCTAATGGTCAGATTGCCATAACATTTATCAACTATATTCATGCTACCCAGAGGATGAGCCTTTCCTTTCATGCTATGCAGCCAAAATGCAAGCTTTCCTAATCTATTAGGCTTGAGCATGCTTTGTTTGTGGGTTCCTTTGATTAAACAGGTCTGAGGCCTTTTATTACAAGCTTTATGTAATATTGTACAATCTAAATTTAAAATCTGTCAGTATTTTGTTTGTTCCATCCAACACTTTGTCTGCTGTTTAATATAATGAACAGCTCAGTCTCTGGGAGCTGCTAGCTCGCCTTTTCAGGGTGAACCAAACCTATTAACTACATTTGCCAAAGTCTGGCCTTTACAGTGGACAAAAAGTTGTGAAAAAAAGAAACTTCACTGATTTATGTTGATTGCAAAAACCTTGACTTTGAACAGAGAGAGCCTTGTGCTCTTGGCTACAATCTAACTGGCATCAGAGTTTATCCCTGAAATTCTGCTGGGTAGGTAATAATTTTTCCATACAATAAAATGAGAGTTAGGAAAACGTGGACAAGTTAAAGTAACTGGCTGATAACAGGCATGTGAAACAGTATAAGCATTTTTATACTTGATGCGTTTATGTGCACACAAGTAGTGTTAAATACTTGGGTTAATGTGTTTTATACTGACAAAACATGGTAAAAACAGGAAGGCTTGACTATAAGTGACCGACTATTAATGTGCATGTGTTCAATTTTGTGTTGTTTCTGGCCTTGTGCAGCTTTTGCCAGTCATTTGCCTATATGTTTGTTAGTGTGTGCATCTATTTTAAGGGGAACTGACTGTTTTGTGTTTTTGACTTTATAGTACATAAAGATCCCAACTCCAACACCAGAGTCACCTTCTGCTCTTCGCGTCTTCTCCTTCTACTTATCCACTGACAGCAAGGACCAGCCTCAAGCCAGCTTTGACTGCATCCATCAGTATGTTTCAAGGTATGGAGTCAAGTCAGTTGAAACTAGTTTTTGTGCAGGCTGTATGTCATTGCATTAAGCAGTTCAGATGGTCTAGTATTATGTAGCTTCTTCCTTCTAATAGTTTTACACCAAACATCTTCTTTTTTTTTTCTCCAGCATCAGAGAAAACCCACCTAGAAATCCACATAAATCAGCAACGACTGTTGGCAAATATTTACTGTAAAAATGATTGTGTTAAGTTTCCAGTTCTGTCACAACAATTTACTATGCAAAGTGTTTGACTCGCTTCTTGTGGCCATATTTTTGGTCAGCAGTCTTGCACATTTTCATGATTGCTGAACTCTCTCTGTACCTCTTAGGGCATCAGAAGAGACACTTAGCTTTCTGCTTGCTCTACACAGAATTGGGCGATTGTAATTTCCTGTATATTTCTGTGCTGACCCTTTCATTACTGAGACCTATGCCTTGTTTCTGGAGTGGATATGCTTGGAAATTGAGGGTTATGCTCTGTTGCTGCCTCCTGCTGCCAGATGGCTAACTGCGGTCTGAACTCAAACTCGTTTCTGGTTCCAGTAAGCTGCTGGCGCCAAGAGGAACATTGTGACAATGTTATGTTAAGACTTTGCTCTTTCTGCCCCCAGCTGTTTTAATATTTAGAGACTAAAGATGAGGAATGATGAGCAGTCAAGTGATTAATTGTATAACACAAAAATTTGTATCAGGGTAAAGGGCTTGCATGTGTTTAGTTTAAAAAAACAAACAAACTTGGTTGCACGCATTTTAAATCCCTGATTTATTTCCAGCATCAGTGAAGCCCAGCTTTATGTATTAATTATTTGTGTAAGATGATCCTTGTTTTGAAAGTGTGCTTGTAGAATTCAAGCTAATCCTGGTGGATTTCCACAGGCTCTATCCCTCCTTGAACCAGGATATCTGGCTTTCTCACATGGAGCGGCCAGCAAGGCTATATCTAGCCTGTGACATAATATACAGTTACCATAGACCTGTCTTAGCCAGCTTCCACCACAAAGCCACTATATGCTGCATGGAGTCCATGCTGCTATGCTGCTCTAAGATGGCTTATAGGACTATGTTCCTACTGTGCAGAGAGCCCTGTGGTTCAGTGGCTCTGTGTTTTTGATTTGCAGTGATGGCCACGAGCAGCTAGAAGGGCAGGGAGTCATCCAGGACAAGATCACTGTGTGTGCCACCGATGACTCCTACCAGATGACCCGCGAGAGGATGTCTCAGGTGGAGAAGGACAGCTGGAGCCGCTCTGCTATTGAAATCAAACCTGGAGCCACACATCCAAGTAAGAATAGACTTGAGGCCTCCATGGAGCAAAAACAGAGGATACAGCTGCACATTTTCACTGGGAAAGGCCTTAGACAGCTTTAAGCTTGGAGAGGGTTCAGCAAATTGGATGTGGATACACTGAGGACATATAAAAATAGAACTATAATAGCCCCAGTAAAAGTAATAGGAATACTAGCTTTAACTGAAAAAATGTTGCTGTGTTGTTGTTTTATAACAGTTGAAAACTAGATATGTTCCAGAGAGAATAAGACTTTTTTCTTATTGTTGTACCATTGTTTGGCCTTTGCTTGTCGGTTACTTGTTAAGTCCTGTTTTACCTCTCTTCTCACATCTGGCTTTAAAAACAGTATTGGCCAATGGAATGTTTGGTGTTGTTCAAAGTCAGCCACATATGTCTTTAAAAAGTCTTGTCAGAAGCAGAAGGCCAGTTTTTAGATTCAAAGCAAGGTTTTGACCATATGTGTTCCTGCAAAGTGTAGTTTTAGAAAGAAGTGAGCATGTCTCCAAAATGTAGCTTATGAAATTAAATGTCAGTTGCATAGGGCTGCAAATAGTTTTTACATTTTTTAGCAAACATCTTAATTCGCTACAGTGTGGTGCCACGGGTGTGTGCAGATATCACTCACTGATATCACAAAAGACAACACAGCACTGGAAAGCATAGATTCATAGGTGAAGAGTTGTTTCTTTGTTCAGATTTAATGCAACACAGTGGTGATGATGGGCTTTTGTGTGCATGTGTGTTTTCTTGGGTCTGAATAATCAGGGACACTTTACAGTACATTAATTTCTTTTCTCTTTTCACCTTCTCCAACCTCTGCTTTGGTTGTGCAATAATGTTTCTTGCCATAATTCTCTGCCCCCGTATCAGCACTGGAGCGCTAAGAAACCTGAAACTCTGGGCGATTCAGGCCATACTTAGACTTTGTGGATTGTGTAACAGCAGGTCAAATGAAGCAATATTTATGCCCAAGAGAACATTTAGAAAACTTAGGAGGCCCTTGTGAATACAGCATATATTGTCAGGCATGCCAAAATGTACTGAGCTTGCATCTGACCCATAATTATTACATATCTGAGAGTATTTTGTTAGGATTAATGGCTGGTAGTAGCTGGTAGTAGACTAATGATAATGTATAGAGTTATTGTCTCTTGGCAAGATTTGTTTAGTTGAAATAAAAGCCTTATTTTCCTGTAGCTCTGCCCTGCTCTGACCTTCAAAGCACAGATTAACCTGTAATGGGATTAGCACAGAGAGAGAGCTTTCACTACTCTCACATGCACCATCTGCCTGCAGCAGGGAGGTAAGAAATGATCAGTGGAGGACAAATAGCTGCAGGTCAGCATGCTTCATGTGATTTAGACATAAAGGTCGGTAGAGGATCTTTTGAGGAATGTTTTCTCACACAGTTGTCAAGATTGTTTAGGCCATATAGCAACACTTTCTTGTGACTTAGAGATATACACTATATGAGGGTAAAGAATAAACAAATATTGTGTCGAGCTTGGGGGGGAGTGTAATCCAATACAGTTTCAGAGTTGTATCATATGACTGAGTACTACTATAAATTCTGTTCCTTCTCTATGTGTTCAGGTAAGTGTGTGAAGTTCAACAAAAGGCCAGCTCCTCCTTCTGCATCAGACAGTAGTTTCTATAAACAGTCTACCAACAACCGGAGGACTAGCGCTGTGCCCATGCTGACCCAGAAACCCCTAAGGGATCGTGTCATCCACCTGCTGGCCCTCAAACCATACAGGAAACCAGAGCTGCTGCTGTGGCTGGAAAGAGAACGAGCTGGCCCCAAGGACAAGGCCGAGCTGGGCGCAGTACTGGAAGAGGTAAACAGTATGCGTGTATACACTCATGTCCACGTGTATGAACACTTAGGTGTATCATATACAAATGCAGCCATTTTAAATGGCTAGCTAGACCACAGTGGGACCACGCCCGATTTCTGACAGGTCCACACACGGCCCCTGCTGTTACTACGTATCCCCCATGATGATGCAGTAATCGCAGCGTCGCCTTGTAAATGTCCCTAAGCACAGTGCAAGCTGCCCGCAGTGTTGTATATTTCCACTAGGTGGAGCTGTGTTTGTTGTAGTTTACTGCAGAGGCCAGCTGATAATTTCATCCTTCTGTTAATGTCCAGAACTGTTGGTGAATGAATACAGTAGGACTGACGGACCGAGCTGAGGTGCTTGGTTGGCAGTGGCTGGCTACATATTGGTCAATGTCCATGTCTATCAGAGTAATAACTACTATTTCGTTGTGCTTACATGCTCAGACCTAATACACTGTTAGAGACATCGTGCCACTGGCAGTTACTGCATTATGCCATTTTTTGTCATTATTAAATCAAGGTTGTCAACTCTACGCTATAAAACACTCTTTTACACGCTGTTGAATAGTACCTCTGACTTTTTCCCACATTTCAGGTTCAGACTTGGCCAAAAAGACACACTCTCTTCTAAAAATTATGTTCCTATATAGCTTATGCAGCTACACTGCAAATGCTGATACATTTTGTAGTGAAAATATTTGGTTATTGTATTCCCATGCAACAAAACATTAATCCTTGAATGAATGAAGCACTGCATTTTCCTACACTACAGCAGCAGAAAAAGGTGGAGAAGGGAGTATGGTGGGAACACAATGGCCAGTGCTGCCACATCAGTGGCTCAAGTTTGAATACGAAGACACTTAAGTTTCGCTTTCTTAAAAATAAGTGCCGTGAGTCAACACATAACCACAATGAAACTTGGTAAACATTGTCTTTGAGCCCCGCCTCTCTAGCTCGTTCAGTTCAGCAGCCTCTCTCTCTGTGAGCTATTTTTTGCCACCTGGAACAGCATTGACCACAGTATTGTGTTTGATAGAGCCTAGTTTAGACTTAAGCTCTGGACACACTCCTTATACTTGTATCTTTTGTATTTTCAGTGCTTCACTTTTTCTGAAGTGATGACCAGACATTGTAACATATTACTATGTAACATTTTAACAACATAGCAGCAACATTAAAAATGGTAACATTGTAACTGTAATGTTGTAGTAACATTGCTACAATGTCACAGTCATGACATTCTGTATGTGTAGGGTAATTTCCACAGGGGACAGGCTCCACCCTAAATGTGAAATATGGACATTTGTCCCCCTCAGTGTTTGTCATGACCAGTCATCAAATGCCTCTTAAATCTATAAGATCCAGTGTTAAAACAACTCCAAAAAGTACTGATTGTTCACTGTGCTCTTCTTGCTTCATGTTGGTTTACATGTCAACCGGCAATAATGAACACATTAGCTGTGTGTAGGGCTCATGACTGGTGAGCATGTGAATATGTTTGGCCATCTTGTGCCCTGCTTGTGTCATATAGGCTATAAACTAGTAATCTGTACATTAAGACAGTGCAGTGATACCCAGCTGTTAAAACGCTTGTTCTGCCCCTTGCTCTGGTTTTTGTGATTTTGAGAACAAAGCGCCATCTAATGGTGGCACCATGCAAATCAAGGAATAGCTCTTTAAAAACAACAAACTAACAATAATTGGGACATTTTGTCATTTTGACATGTTCAAATACATCTGTGTTCCAACTTGCATTATATAATCTTGTGCAAAAGACCACTGGTCAGCTGTGTGTCTAATTTCGAAACATGTACTCTACATAACTTTTCTGTATACATTTTTGAGTAATTCCTAAATGATACTTGAGTGATTATACTGACATCCTCGTTGTATTTGTGTGTTTTTACAGGCCCTTGCTTGTTGAGTGTGCATGCATGTGGTTTTTGTATTTATGTGTGTGTGTGTGTAATTAGGTGGATGCTGTAATTGTCCCTGCAGTGAATTTGTTTTTAGTGGGGTGGTCAATCTGTCAGGAGGCCCTATAAAGATGGATATCCTCACAGAAAGGCAGCCTCCCAAGATTAGAGAGGACGTTAAAGTCATTGTGAGAAAGATAGAAAATCAGAGAATGTTCATGTACTGAAAGTGGCACAAGTAGCACGTGAGCTCAATTTAGTTACATCGTTACAATTTGACTCGTCTCACTGCAAATAATATTATTGTTTGTTGGTTTAAATGAAAAGTATAATTTGTTTATCCTGATAACAAATGTGATAGTAGACAAATTAACTGGTAAATAATGACTGAGGATTTGATTGTGTAGATTTAAGTTTATATTTTAAAAGGATTTCATTTACACAGATCAGCCACAACATTATGACCACCTGCCTAATACTGTATACCAGTGGTCCCCAACCCCCGGGCCGCGGACCGGTACCGGTCCGTGGATCAATTGGTACCGGGCCGCACAAGAAATCATTAATTATTTCCGTTTTATTTATTATCTGAGTCTGAACGATCTTTTATTTTGAAAAATGACCGCATTCTCTCGGTTACATCTCGGTCACTTGAGCGCCAAAACTGGCTTACTTGTGCGACATATTCAGCCTGCTCAATGAACTCAATCTGTCACTTCAGGGGAAAATGACAACTGTCTTCAAGTTGGCAGATAAAGTAG